CCAGCCAGGTTCTTGACGAGCGAATAGAGCGCGACGCGGTAGACGCTCAGGTGCCATGCGTAGAACGTGACCGAGCCATCTCAACTGGCGCAAGAAAACCAGTTTGTTGAAGGGAATACTCGCATTCCCCAAGATGCGACGTCGAACGTCATTACTATTAACTCGATGTTGCCACCAAACACGCGCGATCCTCCTTAAGCAACCGTTATCGAACGCAGAAAGACGACGCATGTCTTCCACGCGAAGCGGCCAGGACTCGCACCCATACAACAATATTGAGCGAACTGATGCACTGTAAACTCGGCCCTTTAGTGAGAATGAGACGTCGCGACGACGCCACAAGTGCCTCAAATTGACAAATGCCGATCGAGCTTTAGCGATACGAAGAGAAACTTCTTTGTTGATAGTGCCATCAGCAGAAACACAGCTCCCAAGGTAGACGAAACTATCTACCTGTTCAAGTTGTGCACCTTCGAGAGTGAGTACGGGAGCAGGCAAATGCCAATCTTTGAGCAGTACTTTACACTTCGATGGGGCGAAGCTCATGCCATACTTAAATGCCTCAACCGCAAAACGATCCAGAATGAGTTGCATACTCTGAGGATCGTCACCAAGTAAGGCGATATCATCAGCATAATCTAAGTCGGTCGCGCGCTCACCCGGTAGAAGCTCTAGGCCAAAATGTTGGAAACCTTCTAGAGCATTCGACAGAACGTCTTCGATTGCGAAGTTGAAGAGGAATGGGGACATAGGGCAGCCCTGTCGCACACCGCTATTGACAGTGAATTGCGAGGAAAGCTTGCCATAGACCCTCACTCTGCCGGATGTATGAAGGTAAAGTGCTCGTAAGATGGCGGTATATTTCTCTGGCACCCCGTTCTTTAGTAAGCAACGCCATAAAGCAGGTCGATCAACGGAGTCAAAAGCGGCACGTATGTCTAGAAATGCAATGATAGTGGGCCTGTGATAAACGTGGCGATGTTCAAGGAGTTGGCGGAGCGTGAAGATTTGATCCACGCATCCGCGGCCAGGACGGAAACCAGCTTGTTCTTCACGGTAGTACGATTCACGTACTGGGGATAGCCTGCGAAGCAGAATGGATGCCAATAGTTTAGAGGCAGCCGAAATAAGACTAATCCCGCGATGATTTGCACATGAAGTGCGAGCGCCTTTCTTGAAAATCGGGATAATGACTGATTCGCCCCAAGAGGGAGGCACTTTCTCTTCATGCCAAATTTTTGCGAACAGCACGGTCAGCTGGTTAATGATCGCCACATTGCCGTACTTGAATAGCTCCGGAGGAAGTCCGTCTAAGCCGGCAGCCTTGAAGCGCTTCAAGCGTCGAATCTCAAGGCCGACTTCCGCTTCGCTGGGTGGATTCAGAGGGACGAGCCAGGGTGGACAACAACGTGTACTGCATGTACTGATGGATGGTGGAGGCCAGTTGAACTGCGAGTGAAAGTGCTCGGCCCAGCGGTCCATACGCCTCTGTTGGTTGGTGATCGGAGACTCATCCACCTCACAAATGACCTCACTGACACCAGGTTTCCTGAGGTCACTGAACCGAATGAGTTGGAAAAGCCTGCGAGTGTTGCCAGAGAGGGCAGCGGTCTCCATCTCTAAAGCACGTTCAGACCACCACGTCTCGCGATCCTTGCGTAGGCTTTGCTTGAGCAGCCGGTTGGCAGAACGGCGCCGCTCGTTGCAATCTGATTCCGCGGAGATATCTTTGCGGCGTTCGAAGAGCTCCAGAGAACGAGCAGAGATCCAAGACTTCAATGGGCGTCGAGTTAGGCCGCAGCATGACTGTCCGGAAATGGTCATCGGTTTCCGTATACAAGTCCAGTGTTGTTCCACTTCTTGAGGTGGATTGCAACTGAGTGCATATGCCAATGAAGACTGATAGCTCTCCTGGACAGAGGAATCAGTTAATCTGTTTACATCAATCTTGCGGTGCTTCGTGTTTCGGGATCCTCCAAAACACACACAGATTTTCGCGCATACCAGAGCATGATCTGAGTCAACGAATGTGGACCAAAAGGACCTGCAGTCTAGTACGCTGCCGCGCCATCTGAAGCTAATTGCAATGTGATCAATTTGAGACCACGGTTGTGTTGAAGAAGGGGGACGCCAAGTTGCGGAACACTTCTTCGTACGCCTGAAGCTTGTGCTCGAGAGAAACAGACGGTTGTCTTCGCACAATGTGAGAAGTCTCTCTCCGTTATCAGAGCGGTTCTCATCGAGCGCGTGATGACCACCAAGGTGGCGTTCGTATGGTAACAGGCGGCCAACCCGTGCATTAAAATCCCCAGCAAGGATAACGATATCCGACTTTTTAGCATTAGTCAAGAGTTGTTGTAGATCCCGATAGAATTCGTCCTTGACCGAGTCGCCACTGCAGTCAGTTGGAGCGTACACAGAGATCACAAACAAGTTGTGTCTCTCTTCGAGGTGCCTGTTGATTCTACACGAACCCCGAAGCCGAACTGCACATAATCGGCTGTTAATAGGGAACCAGTCCAGTAGTGCCGCCTCGGCTTTGTCACTTAGTACTATACCTACACCAGCCAGACCCGCTGAGGCTGCTTCTGGATCTCCAGAAAGACGTAGGTGATATCTGGCTTCGTGGTCAGTGGGGGATGTCAGTGTAAGCACAGTGCTGGGATCTTGCGATCGGGTTTCTGAAAGGCAGCAGACATCAATGTCCATGGAATCTAGAGTGCGCGCTAGACCGGCTTGCTGTCCAATCTGCATGAGTGCCCGAACGTTGAAGCACGCCAGACAGAACGAGGATCGGGGACGAAGGAGAGCCATGGGTTGAACCTCTTGGTCTGCGGCGCAACCGGAATCGCAGCCAGATTGATGAGCACATGAATCGGGTAAAGGAAAGTGAGGACTGTTAACAAACAAACAATTGGCGTGTGATGAAGTCGCGTGAAAGTGACTAGCAGAAACAGCAGCTGATGAGCAAGTTGTAATACAGTCCATGGTTTTGCAAGAGGGCGTTATACTACCCGGTTGCCCAAACTCCTCTGCAGGCACTGTGACAAACACTGTGTGTCATACAGGAGAGAAGTTTTCATAAGGATATACGAACCTAGCCTGACTTTCCGTTGATATAACCAGAGCTCACTAATGTCGGGGCATGTGGATGCAGCAAATCATCAATTTTGTTTAAAGAACGTCTGAATATTAAGAAGAGCAAGAAGTCGGAAAGCGCGTGATTTTCTCGTGGCCCGGCATCCTAAACAGGAATTATTCGCTTCTTGCCTACACACAGGGGCGCCTTTCAAGTGCTGAGGGTCAAACCAGCAATTTCCATCAGTTTAACAGTACAAAGAAATAACCAGTGCAGAGGACGTAAGCCATCGGGACACATGATTATTTGGACAACGCACGAGAATTCCTGGGAATCTATCATTCAACGCTGTAATCGACCAATCATCACTTGGGTCTACAAGTGTCTAACAACGCTGATGATGTCACATAGTATGGCGACGAAACATCTGTAGCTAGAGTACTTGGTCCGAGAACAACCTATCTCTGCAAACGCTATTATACAGTTTTCCTCTTTAATTGTCAGTGATTCAGGTATATTTCTTGGCCGCTGAGTGTTGCGCACCTGCGATTTTTGGATTTTCTACTCATTAACTATGGTCGCACAGTTCATGCTCTCTTGCCTTCGTAAGCAGCGCATGGCACTCGCACTCCATGCCATTCACGCTGACTTTTAACCCTTGTGGCTAGGTATTGATGGAACAGGACCGTCGATCTCTCTCAAAACTCTTGTATGGAAAACACTGAGGCCGAGTTCATCTGACCTCTAACCATTGACTTGTCTGTGATGACTTGATCTGGAGGCACATGGAATGTGCCACTTAGCGCAGTCCAATCGATCACTGCGGTACACCAACCCTGGCAACATGTTACGATTTAGAATCTTCACGATGATTGGCAGATTCAAGAAGAGTCTACTCAGGCCTAATTGGACACACCCCTGTAATTTTCCGAGCAGCAATTAGATGTTTTTCGGCCCTGTCAACTTTTAAATCTGTAACTATGATCAGATGCAGGTGGGACTTGTCGGGTTTGCGTTTTATTGCCCGAAATATTTCCGAGGTTGAGATGTGCTGTCACCATACCATAGAGTACAAGTTGTTCTACCCTTGTGTCGGAACGTCCATGAGGCCCATCCTCTGCAAGCTTAACCGAGTTTAAGTCTCACAAACGTTTAACTTCAATGGCTGAGTTTTGGGAGCTGGCTTCTTATGAGAAGGATGTTACGATTGATTTTTTTAATGACTTCGAGACGCTGACTTGTCTGACACTTGTGCCTCTGGATACACTTGGAAGACACCATCCAGCGTAGCTCGGTTTCCCCACGTTCACAAATATCGCGCCTCATTGAGGTTAAGTCATGTCGCATTATGGCTACCTGACTAGAATCAGATTTCAGCATTTAGACTTTCAAGTGGTTTTGCGCTCGCGACCAAATGCATTTAATTGAATTTGAAGTTTCACTTTCCAAAACTCTGGTAGCGTTATATTGCTCTTGTATCTGACGCCAGCCGCGCACTTAACGAATCGGAATTTCAGTCGGTTTCCACTTCATCAACTGTTAAAGATCATTAATCTCCTTACCATGTCACTTGTGAGCAGTATGAAGACAGCGGTGATGATGTTGATATTCTGCTAGTTTACACAACATCCTTTCACTCCTTTCTAAATAGGGGCAGTAGTAGTCGACCACCAGTCTGGAAAAGATTCTCTTGTACACACTTTAGTTCCGAAAGGAACGACGTTCTCACACAATTTTACAGTTCCAGCGTCGCTTGCCGTTAGCCATCTTTAGCTTGCTTGGGGTGTGTCTACATTTCTCTCTGTTGATGAGACACATCGACAGACAGAAATGTGGCAGGTGTCGTTCCTGTTTATAAATTTGACTTCGAATTTCATGACTGACTATTCATACTTGCCTACCATTTCTCCATTTATCTCAGGGCTATCGGTCATTGAACATTCCTTCCCTTTGGAGCAAAGATACCATTGTTGACGAAAATGCAGCTGATGTTTCTTCACCATTATCAGTTAACCAACAGGACCGCGACTATAGAGATATGCGTCGAGTTCCTGCCCTTCGATTGCCTGATGCATGGCCAAACTTCCTTCTGACTTGGATGTACCTCAATTCAGAGGCCGTATCAGGGTTGATTCCTGTCTGGCTCGCTGCTATCAATCAAGAATTAATAAAACTCACATCAAATCGACCAGCTCATGCTTGCTCCTCAACAAAGTCACCTAGCCCACTTGGTGAGGTACTTGTCTTCACGGTGTTAGTGATCTGCTTCTTTCACCTCTGCCTTCTCCTTTCAGCTTAGATTGACGTCTATCGGCAGACCATCTGCTCCACCCCGTCTTTCATTTATCGAAACCTCCGCGAGTGGTTCAACAAAGGAACTAGTAAGAATTCTTCTTTCTGGGTTTGTTCATCAGACTTTCCGCTCTTTTCTTTACTGGGAATCGTGGGCTGTACGCATTTACTCCAAACTCCTTGAATATTTTGACGCGGCTTCTGTTTGGCACACAGTACTACTAATGATAGTAAACATAATTTATTCATTGCTTTTTAAGAGAAACCTGTTGGGACTTGATCTTGCATTACTATCGTGCTCACCTAATACGATCTTCCTATTCTAACTGAAACCATCACCAAGAAATTGGACCTCAACCTAATGATATTTTTTGTGTGCCTCAATGATCCATTGAACTATATACTAGGCGGTGCTATTGCACCTTCAGAGACACTCATACCATATTCGTCAATGATTAGCGACCAGGCAAACTCTGTATCCCGACTCTCTAAGTTACTGTTTTAAATGATCGTGACCCCTTACTCTATAAAACGGACTCTAGCGCAGTGCCAAAATCACGCTGCATTGCGGTCAGTTTTCTTAATCAAAGGCCCTGGTTGAGAACGCTAATCCTTATCCTGTCTTGTTCTAGGCAACCTGACAGTATCATGTCCACGCAATACAGTACAGTGACTTTCTCTTCAAACAAACCTGATGCTCTGGCTGTCGCAGAAGATAATCAATGGCGCCCTATCAGCTGTATCGCACAGGGTGGATTGGGGTGGAGATGTTACTGCTCAGGCCTCATCGTCTTCTGATTCCCCCTCTTGCGCCTTGCCATCCTTATCATCTTCTTACAACTTTATCCCTTTGTTTGTTTGAGAGAGTTGAAACTCTCTCATTGTCCCCCCTCATTTAGTTTTAAGTCACAATCGCTGGGCGTCTTTCCGATCCAGTCGACAAATCCATGCCTTTGTAGTCCTTGATACTCTCTAAGAATGGCATGCATCAACGTTCGCACTTTGTTACAGATTGGCCACCACGCAGCACCTGCCCGAACACTAGAGACATATCGATTGATATTCGCTGTTCATCAAAAACCCGTCTGTAAGGTTAGAATTCTGTGATTGCCTTGCAATCCCCCATATGCTACAATGGCGGCACCTTTTCATTGCGCCTATCCGGAGATGACGCAACTTCCAATGCTGATCATGCCAGCATGGGCATTGTTTTGAGTTCTCAGCTTGAAGCTGTCCTGAGCGATTGAGTCACAGTCAACAGCCGTAGGTTCACCGTCAGACTGGCTGGCTCGTTCAAAGCTTCGAATTCGGGTGGGGGCAAATGGTGCCTGTTTGTCATATAGGCCTGCATCCTCACAAACTGTAGCGCAGACTCGATGAAAGACGGTTTCTATCACCATCTGAACGAGCTCTTTCGCTAGAGTACGGATACTGTCGTACTTGCTGATGATTTGAACGCTGGAGTTGGGAAAATGTCCACTTATGAGTTTCATCTCGGCGGCCAACACAGTTTAGGCTCCCGTAATGATGACGGTATACGGTTGCTACACAAAGTGATAATGTTCATCTCTTTCTTGGGAGTACTGACTTCTGACAGCACCCATAGAAGAGGGCCGTTGCGTTCACCAGCCATGGACGCAAATCGATCACACTGCTATCAGTCACCGCTGGAGAGGCTGTGTCCAAAACTGTCGCTTAAATTGCAGTACGATCATGGACTCCGATCTCCCTCTTGTGTGTGCCGATCTGCAGGTGCCTTTCATTGGACGTCTGCAACGACACTGTGAGCGCATGAAGACCAGTCAGCTGGCAAAGCCAGGTGTTCTGAATGCTTATTATGGTATGCTAGCATCCGGGCTGAGTAACCGTCCACTGAACACCGTCGAAGATCACTGGTCGCCTATTCGCCAGACGTTGCTATTATCCGGCATGTTTTCATGTGGCGAATCAAATTGCAAACCCGTACTTTGGGTCTCTACGCAGTCCATGAATTGCCTTGACTCTAGCTGACGCGTTCTGGCCCGAAGCGAAATCATTTAAGCTCAGACATCTCAGGGTGGAACTGCGTGCTAGTCTGAAGAGAGACCACGTATCCTGGTGGTCTCATCGTGCATCGGATATGGGAAAACCACTGCTCTTGGTAGCCATCGGAAGTTATTCCGTCTGATACGGGAAGAAGGCAGCAGGAGACCGGGTGTTGGCGAAACAATACGCGACGAGAGTGTACAGCTGATCCACAACTTCTTGAAATGATTGGAGGGTTGCGTGGGATACTTTGAAGTATTTTTATTCTGCCAGAGCTATCAGCTTCTCTATCGGCTGTTGATCGCCCTTCTATTTTTAGCCCGTTGTACCCACGCTCATACGCAGAAATCCTACGTGAGATCAGTCGGATGAAATTGAATAAGGTTGCTGGAGAAGAGAAACTTTCTCCAGTCCTCTACAACTTCTGGGGACCTGTTTACATGTGAAACTCCGTCAGAGTCCCAATTTTCTATGGGGGCTCAACTTCGGAATGCAGCATTCATAGAGGGATCAGTCTGATTTCTGTTACCACTAATTTACTTGCGCCTGTTGTTCTCCTTAGATTGTCTGGCACCTTCGAAAGCTAGATTCGCTAACAGCATGCCGTGTTTCGTCGAGCTCGGGGTGCATCGACCACATTTTTACTTTACATCAGTTGTTTGAACATTGCCATATTTATTGGCGACCCACCGTAGTCGTGTGTCTCGACATCAATAGTGGATTAGTATGCCCTTTAGGTCTGTCAGCTCAGAAAAGTTATGTAAACATTATCAATGCACTGTGTGCGCATAGTTCAGGTTAAGTGAGGGTTTATGACGAAGTGTTGCCACCATATAATATCTCCAACGGTGTGAGACGAAGTTGCATGCTTACCCTTCCTTTTTGGTATTGTCCTTCACGAAGTCATGGAAACAGCGTTCACTTTGCACGACCTACAATATATGGAGCTGCTTCTTGGCAATCACTTCTGGACTTGGGTTACCTCGACGACATTGTCCTGAACTATGACAGCTACCGAACGTGAGTCGATTATTACTGACTGTCAATCATTTTGAGCTATGCTTTGCATAGTCCCCTCCTTCACTGACATTCTGTGATGATCAGCTGGAAGTCATTCAGTGATTCAAGTACTTAGGCAGCTTTATTAGCACCTGTGGATTATGAGATGCGGTCACCATCTGTATAGCAGGACTCGAGACGCTTTTACCATTATCCGCCACTTCTAGTGCCTGCACGACATCTCTCTCGCTATGAAGGGCCGAGTTTACAATGCAGCCGTCCGTTCAACTCTTCTGTACATATATGTGAATCACATATGTGAATCACAGTCTATTAAATTGAGGTTGCGTGTCGCAATCCAATCACACAACGTGTAATCCAAACTTGACCCTCCAATTAGTCATCTACCGTTGTGACAAAAAGCATTGCCCATTGTGACCCGGTAGCCAAAGGGTTAGTAGTGTTGGCTGCTATTCCAATGGTCCTGGGTTCAAATCCTGCTGTCTCCACCTGATGAGATGAAAATTACATCGAAACGCGTCGTGGTTGTGCAGTGTTTTCGGGTGGGCAATACCCAATTTCCATCTACTTTGAATACGGTCCCAGCGATCGCAGTGACTACGGTTCATTTCAATGTGAATCACAGTCTATTAAATTGAGGTTGCGTGTCGCAATCCAATCACACAACGTGTAATCCAAACTTGACCCTCCAATTAATATAAAAGGGTTAGTTATGTTAGACCATCCCTACCTTCGCATTCTAGTTCATTTCTGGTGGAACACCGCGTGAGCAATGTGTGTCTTCAGCGTCTTGTATTTGGTGCAGGAAGAGCGAGTGAACCACTCAGTACCGTTCTATCACGCACCAAGCTCCGATGGTTGGGCAACATATTGCGCATGCCAGCACACCGACTCTCGCGTTGTGCCTTGTTCGCGCGTCGGGGTGTGGATGGAAATGGAACAGAGAAGGCTTAATGGTAAGGTGGTCAGTGGAAATGACGGCGCCAATTTTGGACTTGGCGTTGGTTGGTATCGCCGACTGTCAGGCTGCGGTCCGATCGGTCATGCACATGTTTGGTTGGATACTCTTGTTGTCATAGCGAAGAGGCAACCTCAGTGGCGTTTGTGTTGTGAGTCCCTCTGTTCCTTCCCCTCCCACTTCGCTTCCGTTTCTAAGCACAATCCCACTGCATACCTTATATGGTATTTAGTATTATATTAATTGTGTTTTAGTCTTTGTGTCCTGTAATATTTATTGTATTATCTTTGCTTATTGTGGCGCTATGGTTGAGGTGTGTTTCTCATCCTCAGCTAACGTGTATTAATGATGATGATAACGATACCCAATCAAAGGGCAGTTTCAAGCGCACAACCTATCATTTGCTTCACTTTGACAGCCGTTTCTATAGTCTTCGTCTGTTCTTTCCTTTTGACGAGTCCCACGTGCCATTCACCTTTGGTGTTACTTCTGCTCAGTTGAATAATCTTATCTGTAAAACGTACTTGACTGATTATTGTCATTTTCCAGTTATGCGCCTTGTTCCCCTAGTTTCGTCTTTTGTTTCTAAACGCTGGGCCAAAGGCCGCGACCTAAGTTTCTTAGACAAACCAACATTTGTAACGCCTACGGTCTGTGGCTTAGCATGTGAGGTGAGCGGTCCGCCACGGCAGCATATGACACGGTGCGGCATTTTTAGCACCATCGATTTTTCGATACCAAATAGAAAGGACAGAATAGCTGGATAAGCTGAGGGTTGAATCTTTTAATATTACTTTGCATGGTCAGCAGCACATTTGTGCTGGGTATCATATCTGTGCAAATTTTTTTCCCAACGATTCCATTACTTGTCCCATTGTGGTTACTTTCATCACATTTCCCTCAGTGTCCCAAACGGTCACCCATTTCCTCGAAAACTAATGTGCACTTTACCCTGAGCCGATTGTGTAGCCTTCAGGCGCCCTCATTCATTGCGAAAAATTTTCCACCGCTCCGGGCGTAGGGCAAAATTTGTTGCTATGTCACTGTCTACGTTGCATGTGTTAACTCTGTTTTGCCCCTTTTGAT